TATTTTGGTGGACGTCTTAAAATATAATAAATTTTGTAATCCCGGCGTAAAAATCCGCAACTTTTTTTGGTGATGCAGTCTAATGTACATACATATAATTTTTATATATTAAAAGCATAAAAAAAAAAAAATTTCAAAACAACGAAGGAATCGATATACTCACGAAACTATGGGCCAAATATTGTAAAACTTCGTTTTTAGTTTTTCGCTCCGACGCACTATGGTTCAGAACTCAATTTTAGTGCGACTTAAATCAAATTTCTGACATAAGCAAAAACAATAAACCACCACTCATATTTACAGTAAAATATGTGAGTCATGACAAAAGAAGAAAATTATCCTGAAATGATGGGTACTTTTAACGTATGACGTTACCAAAGTAAGAAAACTATTTTTAAAAATTTTTCGATAAAATAAAGTCCTTTGATCAAACGTGAATTTCTTGGAGTTTATAATCTCATTTACTTTCAGCTACCCTTATTTGCTTTTATTTGTTTTTCAAGCGAAAAGGGTAATTAAAGATAATTTACTTTAAGTTACATCTCGTTTAAAAAGAAAGATTTTATTTATTAAAAAAACATTTTCACCGAAGATTTAAAAAAAGTGCAAGCGATTGCAAGTTTTGAAGATATGACTATTTTGTAGTTCCAATCTTATTGTATCGAGATAAAGAAAAAACAAGCCCTCCTCTGTGCCCCTCTTTATACAACTATCGGTTTATCCACGGATCAGAGGTTAAAAAGCACGCAATTCTACCTATTGGTCAGCTAGGAGAGGAAGCACAAGAAGCAAAAAATAAGGACTTTAAATTCATAAGAGAACACAGAAGTAGAAAAGATAGTGCAAAGCATACTAATGTTGATATTTTAAACTATTTTTTGCTATCATCAGATCCTATAATATCTGAATTAAGTTTACAAAGAAAATGCAGTAAAAAGAAAAAACTGGAGCCAGATGCGATGAATCTGCTCGAAGCACCACATGCTGAATTACTTAATGAAATTGATAGGACGAACTAGTATCGCTACTGTCTTTTCTTAAACTATGCACATTTCTTTTATGAACTTCAGATTTCATCGTATTATAAAATAGTCCCCTGAACTGTTTTTACTTCTATGTTCCCTTCTTAATATAAAGAACTTTTATTTTTCTGCTTGAGCTACTCTCTTAGTAGCCCAACAGAATTTAAGGTTGTGGTTTTTAAAGTCTTCGATCCACAAAAATATATGAAGTTGGGGACACTTATTTTCATACTAAACTATAAACTTAAATGTAGAAAATAGGTTGCTATATGTTTAAAAATTAAAAATATCTTTTTTGAAAAGAGAGCAGAGTTTCAACGACATAAAAACAATATTATGAAAAAACAAACTTCACTGTTTTTATGTGGCCGTTGATTAAAATACGTCAGATTACCTTTCATTTGACACTGATATTGTCACATTTTTTATAATTTTACGGAAAGTGAATCTTATCCATTTCTTGTGAC